AGGTTGATCAAATTTTGACGACTGACAGACAAACATATTTGTCATCATCAAATCAGAAAATCAGGCAAGACAAATCAGAGCAAGACAGGAGAAAAAACAGGAAGAAAAGACAGAGGTGAGAAAACATGCAAGAAATCATTCAAAGTGGCAGGTTGCGTTCAGAAACCTGACAGGTAGACACGAATTTGCATCCTTCGCGTGTACTACTCAATAAAATTCTTTCAAAGAAGAATGCAGTGCAATCTACGGTGTGCATAGGCCGCAAGTTTGGCAAGACCACACCGACCCGAGCGCTTTTCGACTCGGGGTCGACGCGCACGCTGGCAGCCAGTGCCTCGGTTGAGGCGTGGGGCTTGGAGCCGCATGTGCTGGAGCGGCCGATGACGGTGCGCATGGTCGACACGACGACACGTGACATTACGCAGGCGGCCTGGGCCAAGCTGACGATTGGCAAATGGCGGGGCAAGGTGCTGGTCTACATCCTGCCGCAATTCATCAAGCCCCTGATCATAGGCATGGATGTGTTGCAGCGGATCACGGATAGCGGCCCGATTCGTGTCAAAGCTCAAGAGGCGGAGAGCGCGGCGTTGCTCGTTGGTGAAAGGCATCGCCACAGCAGCCGTTCGATCCGAAGGCCATTCCGGAAGCGTTTCGGGAGTTCGCAGCCTTGTTTGATCCAGCTGCAGCGGACGAATACCCTCCCAAACGCGGTCCGCTGGACGTGAAGCTGCGGTTCGCGAGCGGTGACGTCGATACGCCATATCGGCGCACCAAGTACAACGAGGAGGAGCGAGCGGCGCTTGATGAGATCATTGATAACGGTCTTCGCACGGGTAAAATAGTGCCGGCGCCGGGTGCAACGAACCCATCGTCGGTGCTGTTTGTGAAAGACGAACCGGAGAAGAAAATCATCAACCGGGTGGTATTCGATCTCCGGGGCCCCAACGCAAAGATTCTGTCTGAGGTCCACGATCTGCCAACAGTTGAGGATATCATGGAATCGATGGCGGGCATGATGATCTTTTGCAAGCTCGACGTTTCCAAAGCCTTTAACTGTATTCGGCTTGCAGACGAGGACTCCATTAACGCGACGGCGTTCAGGACGCACCGTGGCGTGTTCAAGTGGACGGTGCTACCCTTCGGCATCAAAGTCGGAAGCGTGGCCATGCAGCGACTGATGGATGCCATGCTGCGTGGGCTCAAGGGCGTCGCGGCGTGTCAGGACGACATCATTGTGGGTGGCAAGAACAAGGAGGAACTGATCGAGAACACCCGCGCGGTGCTGCGTAGGGTGCGCGAGTTCCAGCTGCCACTCAAGCTGAGCAAGTGCGAGTTCTTTGCAACGGCAGTGCCTCTGCTTGGCTTTGTGCTGAGTGCTCAAGGCATTTCGACGACGAAGTCGGCTGTGCAGGCCATGCTCGACTTCCCCGTCCCCAAGACGAGGAAGCAGGTGCGCTCGTTCATTGGCGCGGTGGGGCACATCAGCGGCTGGATCAAAGGATTTGCTGACATGCGGGCGCCGCTGGACCAGTTGCTCAAGAAGGACGTCAAGTTTGTCTGGACGGATGAGTGCCAGCAAGCTTTCTCACGGATCAAGAAGGTCGTGACGTCCACCCCGGTGCTGCGGCTGCCACGGCGCGATGAAGTGTTTGTGTGCGAGGCTGATGCGAGTGACATTGGCACGGGCGCGGTGCTCTACAACATGAAGCCGGGGGGCAATCCGTCGGACATGAAATGTCTCAAACTGGTGGGGTACTACTCGAAGCGTCTGTCAAGCGCGGAGCGGAACTACAGCACGACGGTTAAGGAGCTGTTGGCGATTGTGCGGGCAGTGCGTCGTTGGAGACAGCTGCTGACGGGA